TGTAAACACTATAAATATCCCACTATATCAACATTAAACACATATACATTTCTGATATTCCTAGCAACACATACTATGGGTATAATTTCAGGGCAAAAGCTCAGAGAAACTCACACATATACTTAACTTTACTCATATAAGCAGTCTCATTGGTTTTAAGTTTAATGCTTGCAGGATTTGGCCATAAAAAAGAGTGATCTTTATCTTACCTGGTCCCCTCCCTTTTTTAAAATCAAAGTTAATTTAAACTAAATTGATGAGCATCATTTTTAATAATCTTTACTTACAGTATTTTAAATACTAGATGCCTCCAGTGAATAAATTACTTTAAAGCCAGGTTACCACATTTGTGTTAATGAGAAAAATCACTATACTTACGGTTGTGGGAGCTGGGGTAGGAGGTGGGGCATAAGATGGCCTTTCTGTTTTAAAGACAAAAGAAAATAAATACGTTTTTTCTTGACAACTTAAGCCGTGTATATGGCACTTAAAAGAGTGTAAATCATTTAAAAATGATTTGGCAAAAAAGAGAAAGGTGAGATCTTTGCCCCATAGTTTACAAGGGGCAACAACAAAATAAGAAAAAACTGAAAGCATCACCACTGCTGCATTACTAACCTTTTATTCAGACATACTAGGAAATAGCAAATGTATTGATCTGCAATCAGTTAAAATAAGGGCAAGGAGAAATATAGTAACAGAAAATGAGGAGAAACTGGGCGTGTCTACATGAGACATTTATGGACTAATTAGCTCCAGAATAAAATGTCACTGTCTACATGTGCAGTGTTATTAGGAAGATGTAAACTAATTAAATCTGCCACAGAATAGTTCTTCCAGACACAAGTACAATCCTACAGTGGAGTTATTTACCCCACTGCAATGCACATGTAGAGGATGATAGGCCTGGCTGGGGCATGAGGGTGCTTCAGTGCGAGAGGCTGCCTGCCACATAGGCCCCCGCACTGAAGCACCCTCATGCCCCAGTCAGTCCCGGGCTGGCATGCTGACTCCTAGGGCTCCCAGCCAGGGCTGCACCACTCCAGCTGAAGATACTATGGTCCTGGGCGCACATGTAAATGCTGTGCTTGGGAGCAATAAACTCCAGCATGAACTGCGCTGGAGTTTATTCAGCTGTGTTAATTTCACATGTATACATGACCACTAGATAGCTAACTAGATTTTCTTTAGGGGGAAACAGACAGAATAAAATGTAGTTTTTCCATGTATATGTATGCTTCAAGAAACAGCAAGATAAATTTTATAATCACAACTGGACATTTAGAGTGGTAACCAGAGCAGGATTCAGGGCCAACTAACTGATGGTTCATCAGTAATTACTGCACTCGGTAGTGCAGTGGAGTTGCATCTTACGTGGAGGTTAGGTTCTAAAGTCAGCGCGTAAGGCGAAAATCATGTATAGTTAAAATTACTGTGCCAGCAGTGACTGCCTCTGCCTCCAAAACCTCCCACCGCCGCTGCGGAGCCGTGTTTAGAGCTGTGCGGCCAGTGGCAGCGGTGCAGCGTGGGGTGGTGGCGGGGATGGCTGCGTGCCGCCTGGCCACCACCACGATGCCACCCGGCGGCTGGCCACACAGCTCTGGGCACGGCTGCATGGCAACAGCGGGAGGTTTTGGAGGCAGTGGCTGTCACCGCCATAATGGGCCACCAGGTAAGCAGCAGTGCTGTGTGCAAACTCAAGCTCCACTCCCACTCCCACCCCACATATAGTTGAATTCGCATAAGTTAAATGCGCGTATGATGTGACTGACTTCTATTCCTTTTAAAAAGAGCCTGATCCCACAGCCATTTATTATGTGACAACAACAGAATTAATCGCGTAAGGAAGGGCTACTAGATCAAGCTCTCCTTAAATAAAAAAATAAAAAAATCCAGAAACTTACTTGACATTTTGATGGACTGGACAAGTTTTCAGTCAGCTAGCATTATAATTGTTATGCTGAAAGACAAAAAAAGGACACCATAACACTAAACATAAGTCTTTATTTTCATTTTATTTTTTAAACTTATACCATCATAAGGTATCTATTGATGGCATGTCAAACATATGGCCTGCAGAGCTGTCTCATCTGGCCCACAGGGCTCCTGGACAGGCTAGGAAAAAGGGAGTAAAGGCCACTATCAAAATCTGGAATACAGAGTCCCAGTGGAAATTTATTTCAGCAGCAGGGGGCAAGTGATAGCTGCATTAAGCCCCCTGGCTCCCTGATGGTGCTTGCCCTGCTGTCCCTGCAACTAGTTCTAGCCTGAGAGCCCCACATCAAGATGAATTTGACACCCTGATATACTGCAATTAAAAATCATGGCTGCCTATACACGTGTTCATGGATGGGCATTTTAATAAGATTGTTTCCCAGAGAGTTGTTTTAGTTAAAACGCTGCAGTGTCACATGTATTAAGCCTCCACACATTTAAAAATGGCAGCAGGATGCTTTAACTGAAGCTCATTCAAATTAAAAAAAAAATGTCTTTGTGTATTACTGTTTCAAAAAATTAAGAATATTGTGTGTTGGATTTCACTGATATGGCTTCACTGCTGGCTTCAAAGTTCTGATGGTAGTGAAGGAGCAAGCAGGCGTGTATGGTGTCTTTCAATCTTGGTATAACGGAAAAAGCAAGTGCCAACAGTGTCAGATACAAGACCATAAATAACCATGGGGAGATTGGCATATGCAACCACTAATAAACATGAGCTCAAAGAATGTAAATACTCTATAAACTAACAGCAATATCGTACTAACTTTCAGCATGAGAAATATCCCCTTGAAGACTTAGGACAACAAAATCTGGGCCTAGCCCTGTCAGAGTAACAGAGAAGTAGGGCTGGAAGGGGCCTCCAGAGATCATCTAGTGATTCTAGTCCAAACCCCTGCCTGAGACAGGATCACCCCTATCCAAACCATCCCATACAACCATGAACACCAACTATTACTGCTGAAATTCCTGATTCCTATTCTCATACAAAAACAGAAAAAAATCCCTACTGCAGGAGTGGGCAAAATACAACCTGTCGGCCAGATCCGCTAGCTAAGGGATTCTACGCGGCCTGCAGCAGGTCCCTTGGCACCACCCAGCCCAGGCACAAGTCAGCTCAGGCCATAGCGCATGCAGCTGGTCCTACCACCTCCAGGTGTGGCCGGGGGGGGGAAGGGAAGGGGCAGTGGCCAGACTCCACTTCCTAGCAGACCCCACATCGGTGGCTCCTTCTGGCTGCTGCCACTAGTGTCACCATTGCTGCTGGACCTGGTTCTGCTGCCCAGGCACCCTGGTTCGTCTGCCCCACACCCACCACCAAAGGCACTGGACAGAGTGGGTGGGGCCTCCACGGAGACTAACCTGGGACCCCTTCTGGGAGGGTGGGTTTGGCTGGGTGGGTGGGATGGGGTCATGGGCTGGTGGCGGGCAGCATCTGGGAGTAGGAAGGGGATCATGGGGTGGTGACAGCACAGGGCCAAGGCCCAGGGCAGAGGGATGTGTGGAGAGTGGATCATGGCTCATGGCCGCTCCTGGCTGCCACTTCCTGCCTACCTGTGGTCCCATCCCATCTGCCTGGCCAAGCATGCCCTGCCCAGGCATGGAAACCACAGCTGGCAGCCCCAGCAGTAGATGTGGGGCAGACAGGCCATGGCTAGACAGGAATAGCTTCCCTGCCCCCACCCCCATCCTATTGTAAAGGAAGGTCCTGTCCTGCAGCAGCAGGAAGATCCTGAAACTTGTCACATTTGGGGGCGATAAGGCCAAAGAATCTGCATATCGAATGGATGCACACAGGTACTTGGATTTATTGTTATCATTTGTAGTTGCTCAGTCAGGAGGCGGCCACCCAGGTGTGTTATTTCTGAACTAGGGGTTTTTATTCCCACCAGGAACACCAGCGCCCTGGAGAGTGGGACAGGGGACAGGCAGGGAGCTCCCAGCCACGTGTCCAGGTGGGGTGTGAGGGCAGGGAACCCAGGGCAGCAGCTGGGTGCTGCACCTCACATGAACCCAGAAGATGCTGGGGGTCACTCCCTCCAGCCAAACTGCGGTGGGGGGAGGGGTAGGATCACCTGGTACCGCCCATTCCAAGATGGGGCGGAGCAGCCCCCACCCCCCATTTTGGGCTACTTCCTCCCGGCTTGACCCAGGCCTACCCAGAGACCCTCCCCCCTCCGACCTGTCTTTGCAGCTGGGCCCGGCTGAAGCACAGATCCGGGCGGGTCCCGCGCATGCACAGTGCGCCCTCCCAGCCCCTTTGTCCCGGCCGCGCGGAGCCGCCTGCGCTTTGGCCCCGGCACTTTCCACACACGAAGTTGCCGCCCTTCCCCGACCTTTGTGGCTACTCCGCTTCTCCGCCCAGCCTCCCCCAGGCGCGGCTGGATGCGGCGGGAGCCTGGCGGCTCCTGGGCGGGACAGGCGCGGCCGGGCCGTGGCGAATCTGCGGACCCGGCAGAGTTGCTGAGGCGGGGGTGGGTGGAGGATTTCCCTCCCGGGTGCGCGTGGGGGGAGGGGCACCTATTGGCAGAGCCGCCGCGCTGCGGGCCCCGATGCGGGCGGAGGGGGAGGGCAGGTAGCACTCACCAGCTCCGGCCTCGGCTGCGGTGCCTTTGTCCCCGACGCCGCGCTGCGGGGCGAGCGCCGAGCAGGGGAGGAAGCGACCTGCGCTTCCGCCTCGGCACTTTCCACAGAGAACACCCCCCTCCCCCACTTTTCCAGCAACCCTCTCCGAGTTTATTCCTATTGCGTCTCCCTCAAAAAGCACCACCGCGCCCAGGGCCAGGGAGAGCGGGTTATTTTTCTTTCTTTCCTTCTTTTTGGCGAATCAGCAGGTAGGAAAAAGGTAAAGCCACGTCTGGGGACAGTTGACAGACGCGTGATGAGTGACGTCAGGCAGGCGGAGCGAAGCTTAGCTGATCACGTGTCGAGCCGGGGGGGGGGGGGGGTGGCGGGCCGGGGGGGGGGGGGTGAGGCAGTTGGCGCCTTTTTTGCTCCGCGCCAGCCCTGTTGGGGTTCAGCGGCGCTGGTGCTATTTGCACTGCTTTCCCCTGAGCCTTTTGGCCTCGTCTGCATGGAGAGGCTCTGGAAGCGCCATACAGGTGCCAGGGTGCTGCTGCCATGTTTGCTTACGTGATGGTGTCCAAGCCACCCTTGCCATGCCACCCAGCTCTCCTTGCAAAACAGCGTGAGGCACACATGCGTGTTGCCATGCATGGTGATGTTTCCAACACAAATGGCCCTTGCACAGTTGCCGTTAGTGAGGCACTTGGTGCATGTGCAGCTCTTCGACTAGGTGATACCCCATCACCACACATGTGAAGGTTGCTATAATGCAAAACCGTCCACTCGAGTGCTGCTGCATGGTTATTTTTTAGCTCAGGGTGTCCCCCCATAACATGCTGTGGTTCCCCTCTGCCCTGCTTTCTTTTCTCTGCCAATTATTATTCTAAAAAGAGGTGCCCAGGGAAAGGTGGTGCTGTAGGATTGGCATTTAGACCTGCTGGAGTGCCCCAGGGAAAGAAAAGCAGCACCGCAATGCGACCTGATGAAGTGACAGTAGGCTTCACTGGTGAAAGTGTTGGGCAAAAGAGCACAAAACAGATGAACAGAAAGGTTAAAGCTGTACGGTGAGACCAGAGATTTCTTAAGACTGGTGCAAGTGTATCTTAGCCCCAGTAGGTAAGAAGGAAAACATCCGCGACTGCAGAAGTTTCGGAGAAAGGAAGCTCATGGAATGAAGACGGGATGGAACGAAGCTCGTGGAATGAGACTCCGGAACATGTTGCTGCTACGATGGGTTGAACCTTCACTCAGACAAGAATAGTTTGCCTTTAAGAAAGGGTGAGTGACTACACATGCAATTTTTATGATTGGCAAGTGTAATGAAGCCGTTAAAGTAACATCAGGAAAGCTGGGCTTTATGGGCCTAGGAAAAGCACATAATAAATTAGGTAAAAGAATACTCTCACCTGGGCTGAGGAACTTTGATGTGACCAAGAATAAATGGCATATATACAGATAATTTAAAATGATGATTTGACCTTACACGAATGGCAGATATGAATGATCTTATATGAGTGACAAATCCTCTTGAAGTTAGCATTGAACTGTATTAGGGGTTGGCCCTGTTGTTTACGATATTGCTGGACATTGTCAGCAGCAAGATCCTCATGGGAGATGGTGAGATGCTTCTGTATCGGGGGCTGGCAATTATTTCGGGTGGAGGGCTGCTTACTGAGTTTTAGCAAGCTGTCAAGGGCCTCATGGGTAGCCACACCCCTTGACAGGTGCCCTGACACCTGTTCTTGGACCAGAAGTCCTGCCCCCCTAACCCCTGACCTTTGCCACCAGAAGTCCTTTCTCTTGCCCTTGAAAATACTCCTTTCAGCAAAGGTTTTTGCCATCTTGGAACCAGAAAAATACCAAATTATATTCTAAAAATCAAACATCTATAACATTCATTAATTTGATTTAAAAAAAAAAATTTTTTTTCCTGATTTACATGTATTTGTGTAGTGTACATGGAGGTGATTGCACAATAGCTTAAAATGAAGTCTTATTCTTGTATATTGTGAAGGGGGTGGGTGTATACATGTGTGGGTATAGGTTTTTGGGGGGCTGGTGTGGGTATGTGGGGTGTGGGAGAGGGTGTTGATGTGTGGGAGAGGGTTTTGAGGGGGTGGATAGCTGTGTGGGGTAAGGGAGCATCTGGGTGTGTGGATATGGGTGTGGGTGGTCACAAGGTTTGTGGGGGGGCTGTATGGGAGGGTGGGTGGCTGAGGAGGGCTGTGGCATGTGTGGAGGGGGAGGATGGCTGTGGTGTGTGGGGGGGTGTGGGTGTTGGGGTTTGTATGTATGGCAGTACGAGGGGGTGTGGGTGCATGTGTATGGTGGGGGGTGTGTGTGGGGCTCTCTCCCTGCCTCATTGTGCATGCGCACACACTTTGTTCCATGCGTGCGCTCGCTCTCTCGCTCTCGCTCTCGCTGGTGCCCACCCGCTTGCTGCCACTCACCCCCTTGCCTGCCACCATCCTTTCCCCGTTTTCCTGCCTCACTCGCCGGCTGGCTGCTCCAGCATCATGTGGTACCTGCCTGCACCGCCAGGACTGCAGGACTCGGAAGGAGCTGGCCCGGCCTTGAGGACTGGGGTGATCACCTGCAGTCCTCCCCTGCCTCCCTTTTTCTTAGCTGTATTTCCTGGAGGGAGGCAGGGTATAGCCCCATGGTCACCAGACCAATAGCCTCTTCTAGGCAGAGGCTTCCAGTTGGAGGTGGGGCCAGGCGGGTCTTGCTGCTGTGGCTGCTGGGTTCTGCCCCCCTAGGTCTTGCCACTGGCCCCTGGGTCATCTTTGACAGGCAGCCAGGGGCAGATAATTAATTTTCTAAATTTTTCAGGGGCTTCGCGGGCTGGATAGAATGGCTTGGTGGGCCAGATTTGGCCTGCGGGCCATATTTTGCCAGCCCTTGTTCTATATGCAGGTGGCATATCCGTAAGAATATTCTATAAAGAAGACTCGGAGAAAATGGGGGTTATGCATCATTTCTGATGATGACAGATAAAAACTTTTCCGCATTTGTTTTGATTGTGAGTTCTCATATGACTATAGAGTCCAGGTTTTATGAAGAATGTTCTTCTACATACAGTATGAAACATGCAAGATACACCTGTCCCATATTGGATCGGCACTGATATGAGGAAAATTGAGAGCATCAGTAATCAGCTTTTTTTGTCTGATGTGGCCGATAAATGCTGTGTGCATGCATGCAGCTGCAGTGCAGCTTGCAGGCAGCCAGGAGCGCAGCCTGGCAATGTGAGAGCAGCCAGGTCTGGCTGGTAAGTCTGTTGTGGGGGAAAGGGCAAGATGGGAGGGAAGGTGTGTGTTGTGGGGCAGATTGAGGCCTCCGTGGTGAGGGAGAGAATGGGAGTAGGGCTGGGCAGGGGCAGGCACTGCCAAGCCAGGATGGGGCAGGTAACGGGACGGAGTTGTGGCTTGTTCAGAGGGTTCGGGGGTGGGAGGGGGTGGCTCCTGCCATTGCATGCACCCCAGGAGAGCTTGGGGGTGGGGCGTGTGCCCCTGGATCTGTGCATGGGGCAGGTGGTGGCGGCACTGGGAGGGAGGGTTGCAGCCATCCTAAAATTCGCTGTAGCCTCCGCTCCCAGCACTGCTGCCATGCACCCCAAGCACAGCCCAGCTCCCCCCGCCCCGGGAAGAGCCCAGCACTGCTCTAGCCTGCAGTGGCAACCCACCCTCGCCCTGTGCACAGATCTGGGGGCACACGGCCTCCTGGGGTGTGCGCAGCGGTGGGAGTGCCCCGCACCACCCCGCGCTTGCTGGGCAGTGCCTGCCCCAGCCTCAGCGCCAGCCCTACACCCTCCCTCACTGCAGGGGCCTTGATCTGCCTCTCCCACGCCCCTTCCCTTACCCCACCACAGACTTATCAGCCAGACGCCTTTCTCCATGCTGCAGGGTTGCATATTGGAATCAGATTGGTATCAGCCAATATGGCTCGTTAAAAATTAGTCATTGGTATTGACCCAAATTAGTGTACCCCTACTTAGATTGACCTAAAAGTGGTTCTCTCCCATGCTTCATTTGAGCTTTCTTTTCTTCTGCTAGCTGGGTAGAGAGTTATTGCAAATGTAATTAGACTACTAAGAATAAGTTTTCACTACTCTCTTTCTCATACATATCCTGCTCCCAAGTGTCAGTGGAAATACCGCATTATTTTTGGTTAGACTTTAAACCGTTTAAGCTGACCACTTTGAGATCATTTACCAAACTTAACTGACCATAGAAAAATACCTTCTTTTGTAGTCTAGTGTCACGTGTTCAGACTAGGTGGCCAACTCACCTCAACTGCATCTTTGCTATTATTTCTTTGCCAGCCATATTTGGTATTTTTAGGACTTCAGTATATGGTATATGCTGTCATGAATTTTCATGATCTTTCATAGATAAGTTGTATATAAGTGACTGAGTTATCTAATATGGTAAATATATGCAGTACAGATCTCAAATGTGTACAGTTATGGTATGACCGTTGCCTTATAGACTTCAAATTTTGCTTCTATTTTTCCTACAGCCTTAGCTGGAGCCTTCCAAAAGACCTGCTTAACCATCTAAGAACATTGTAGCAGGGCACTAAAATGTGCCTGCTCCTTTAAGGGCAGAAGCCGCCTGGCCAGGGAGCCCTGCAGGCTAGGCAGAGCTCCAGCTGCAGGTTGCCTGAGCAACAGCCTAATGGGATAATTGGCCAGCACCTGCAGGCAGTCAGATGACCAGAAGGAGGCAGGGCTCTGGGGACATAAGCTCAGGGCTGGAGCTAGGAGTTCCCCTCTCTCTGGGGAGACTGCCAAGGGAAGGAGCATGGCATTAGAGAACTACTCAGAGACATTTAGTTGCCTGCTTTGCTGCTTATAAGGACTAAGGCTGTAGGAGCCTACAAGGTACACAGGACTAGGGGACACTATCGTAGGGTGGAAGTTTTACCTTCTTAAAGGGGCAGACCACAGTCTCCATTAGTATTGTTGTGTTGTAGCCCAGAGGCCTGTGTTTGTGTTATTATTTTACTGGGGGTTTTGGGATGAGGTTATAAGGGGAGGAGGAGACCTCATTGGTGCCTAGTGGGTGGGGCACCCTATTGTGCAGAGCCCAGCACCAGAGTGGCACAGCTATATGGGCTGGAGGGCTCAGCGCCAGTAGGGTGCAGAGGTTGGAGGCCAGTGAGCCTGGTGCCAGAAGGGCATAGCAGATACAGGGGCGGGAGGGCCCAGTGCCAGAGGGGCGCCATAGACTGGGACGTGGAAAAGACCTGGCATAGGGACAAAGTTCAACCCCTAGAAAAGGGCTGAGGGAGTCAATTATTTGTATTGCATCTGCAAGGCATGGGGTGTGGTAAAGGGGAGGATTTGGAGCCACTCAATTAGCCCATAAGGCTCGAGGTGTCCCAGGAGGCACTGTCTGGGAGAAGGACCTAGCGAGGGGTCCAAAGGCCAGTACAATCTAGTAAGGTTTAGTGGGACTGAGGGCCGTACAACGTCTTGGAGGCAGCCTCCCTAGTGATGATGATGATGATACCTACAAGGTGTGGTGGGCAAAATAAGTAGGTATCCTCAGAGTGGAGTTGGCCTGGTTAAGGGTCACCGGGGAATGTCACGGCCACCCCTCAGACCCCCATCTGCCATAAACATATTACTTGATCTGGTGCTTCTCAGATTGATGAATTTATCCTCTGCAGGTAATGGGTCACTATCAATAGTGATGTAATAGACAGCAAATGAATTTTACCAGGAACAGATTGGTACATTGCTTCCATCTTCTTAAGACTTCTAATGAGACCAGAATTCTTATGCAGCCCTCAAAGTGGTCAGTGATGACTTGGAGATCCATCTCTGTGTTGGCAAAGAGCAGTTGCATGCAAACAAGAGTTTTCAAAACCGTTTTTCATGGGTCTTAGCTTTGGACTGTAGGGAGCAAAGACTAGTTTATCATCCATGCTAAAATGTGTGTGTAATATAAATATATACACACACGCACACTAATTCATCTAAGCTTCTGAAGGTGCATATAAGTATATAAAAAGGCACTTAGTAGAGTGGGAGTTAGAATATAGGATAAGGGTTGAAGTCATCCCCATCTTCAATGGCTTCTGCCCTCTTATTGTTGTAGAAGTAATAGATTATCTGGATAAACTTTTTGGGGCAATCTACTTTGGCTAATAATTTCCAAAAGTCTTCTCTGTTAATTGTACCAAAGGCCATTATGAGATTAACAAAGGCTAAATAAAGAACCAGATTTTGTTCTTAGTACTTTTCCTAGAATTGCTTGATGGTGAAAACAGTATCAGTAATGTGGATTTAAAGAAGGTAGAGCTTCTATCAGGCAAGAATACCTCAGTTATATGCTTGACAATGATTTAAAACAGGGCAGTCCAACTTGTGGGGGGGTAGGGAGCTGCAGTCCTACGAGTCACTTGCTGCACAAGCCACACACTATGAGGGCGACTGGGGTCCCCCCTAGTGCTCAGGTATGCCCCTCCCCTTGTTGCAAGCAGCTGTATGCCATCCATGGGCTACCAGTTGGACAGGCTTTATTTAAGTGACTTCACAATTATGGTTTGTGGTAATTGGTATATTACCGTATTTTCTTGAATCGAAGATGACACGCCTCCCCTGGCCACATAGGGAGGGAAAAAAAGTCTCATTTTAGATTCAGGTACTGGCATATATTTTTTTATATGAAAAGCTAAGAGGCTGTTAGTGTTTCCTGAGATGTGGTCATAAGAGTCTATGCTTATGAACTATTTCATGTGGTATTTGTGTAGTTTGGTCAAGATAGTGTAACTGTCACAGCCTTGGGGGAGAGTTTCTCCTAGCAGACTATGCACTAGACTGCTGCATTGGATTCCAGTCAACTGGATCTATGTATTTATTTTTTTAATTTATAGTGGAGTGTAGTACTGTTTCTTCCCTTGGCCTACCTGGCACATTTCTGGGGTACAGGCTTCTTGTCCATTACTCTTTCCTGGATATGGGGCGGTAGAGTTCAGCTGCCCTAGGCCCCAAGGACAGTGCTGGTGTGTCAGTAGCTTAAGCACAGCAGCCTTTCCTAAAATACTAACCCCATGGAGGTTCTGTTCATGGGCTGATCCAGGATTTTGTAGAGGTGTGGACAGAGTGACCTGTGCTGCAGAGGTGGCTGCATCCCCATTTCCCCTCCATATACACATCAGGGTGGGTAGACTGTGCTGCAAGAGCAGCATCTAGGGACCTTTTATGTCCCTCAATCAGGTAAAAAACTTCCTTCCCATCTCCCGTCCTCTCTGTGCTAAGCAGCATTTTCCCTCCCTTTCCCTTTAGCACCACCTTCCTCTCTGCCTCTCAGCTTGCCTGCCACTGTCCCCAAGCCACCCAGGCATGGGGAGAGCCCCAGAGCTACTTCTGCCCTGCTTCAGCCAGGGCTGCATGGGGAGCACAAGGGTTGGCTAAAGACAGGAGTGGCAGTGGGCAGGTTACTTTCTTCCACACCTGCTCCTGAGCTGGCAAGGAACACCCATGGGGATTGGGCAGGGAGGAGGAACCTGCCCACTGCTGCTGCTGCCTGTGGCTGTGCCCAAGTCCATGCAGAGTGAGGAATGCCTCTGGAACCCACCCTCACCCTCCAGGAGAGCTGGAGACTGCAGTGGCAAGTGGGGGTTGGGTGGGTTAAGGCAAGAAAGGGGCTGTTGAGCATAGAGGGAAAAGGGAGGAGGGATTCTTACTTGGTTTGGGGACATAAATTGCATAGGGGAGGCACAGGGGGCATGTGCCCTCCCAAGATTGGCCTTCACCAGTGGGGGAGTGGAGGTGCCAAGAGAAGTGCCACTGGCACTTCTGGGGTTGGCGATCAGCTGCTGGTGCCCCTAGACTCAGGAGGCACCAGTCACCCATGTTTGGGGACTTAGGGGGGAAAAAAAAACCCTTGACTGTCACTCCTATGGCATGATCTGAAAGGGTGGTGCATCTGCCCCACTGCACCCCACATCTGTCCTCCCTATCTTTGTTCTCAGTTAAATTCTTGGGAGCATATAACAGGTAACAAACACGTTTTGCATAGGATTCTAAAACAAATTATTTTTTATTTCAGCAATATGATGAATATAGAAGTCTAGACAAAATAAGAAAAAACTATATCTTTTCCTGCCTCCCTTTGCTTAGGACTCTGAAACATTCTTTGAGCTTAGGTCAAGACTATCCCTCTGTGGTATCTGAATACTTCTCATTCTTTGAATTGTCAATCCGTTTCTCTGTGCTTTGACTTTGGCTGGTCCCTTACTTAAACTTCTCATAGGATAGTGTACTTGTGTATTCCTGCTTCCTGCCTCAGCACTTCTTTTGTGGCATTCCATTGTATATGTTTCCCACACAATACTTGTTTAATTGTTCTGCTGATGATTTCCACTTTTTTCCCTGCTCAGAAAAGGTTCTTAAAGTAAAGGGTAGGGGTGTAAATTGTATCTTTTGTACAGCTAAAAAGTTTAACAAAATGCTATAGCTTCTTTAGAAAACATGATACATAAAATACAATGAACAAAAATAAGGCCAGTTTGAAAACTGGAAGGTTAGAGAGGGGGAAAGAGAAGGGGACTGACTTTTATGGGTAAGGCCAGCATTAGGTTGGTGGGTGAAGAGGTCAAAGAGTGAAGGCAGAGTGAGGGAAATAAATGAGGAAGCAAAAGTGCAAGAAATACATTGTTTTACTGTAAGAGGAAGACAACATACAGCAAGGATGTCAAAATTGAAAACTATCTGGCCTGTGAGGGGCCAGTCTGTAGGCCAGATTGCACTTGTGGACCTCTCCCACCCCATGTTGGATCCATCATATGTGGCACCTGTTCTGGCTGCTCAGGGAACTGTGCTTCACATGGTACCTACTCAAGCCAGTCTGGGAACCATGCTGCATGTGATATCTGCAGGAGTGCATCCAGTCCCGTACCAGCAGGGCAGCTGCCACATGTGGCGGAGATCCTAGAGTGGCTGGAACAGGTGATGTGTGTGTTGTGCATCCCGGGTTCTGCCTGTGAGGCTGGGTTGGCTCATGCCACACGTGCCTGTGGGTTAAGTCAGACCCATGGATGATGGGTTTCCACAGGCCAGATATTTGACACCCTTGGTGTAGAGGAACAGATGGAGATGAGCAAAAGATTATTCTAGGTAGGAAGAAAAAGTGAATGGAATTTTCAAGGGATTGAAATTAATGTATTATGGACAGTTGTAAATAATTTTATCTAAAATACCTTTCACTTTAGTTTAATTCTAATTTTTTTATAACCTGGAAATAGGTTCACTCTACAACTGCTGGAAGAAGGAATGCACTTCAGGTATGCTTTTATCAAAGAACTGTCTGCTTCCCAAAGTATGAAGCGATGGCTTCTTCCCCAAGATCCTGCTTTTGGAGATGGCAATAGGCTACCATTGGTCTTCCACAAAGGCTCTGAGGGTGCCTGTACACAAGCCTAGAGGCTGCTCTGAGGCACTATAATTACAGCATGTATTTATGCATCAGCATCCCAACACTAAAAAATGGTGGTGGAGGCACTTTATCTAATGCTCATTCGACAAGCTTTATCTAAAGTGCCCATGCCGCCATTTTGAAGTACGGGGATGCTGATAAATGAATGCTCTGGGTGCTTTATTTAGAGTGACTCTTGGAGCCTCCGTAATGAAAGCATGCCCCCTGCCATGCCTGCTTCCAGGGCACATGTAAAAATACCCTCGGATATTGAAGAGAATCTTACCATTTGGAATCAAGAAGAGAAAGAGAAGACGATTAGTAAAAGGAACTGCTGCTAAGTCCATCAATGACATGCTGAATATGAAGGCTTTTACAGGTATTCATAATGTGTACTCTGCTTCTTAAAGAAAGAAATAGCTCAAGAGTCACCAGACAATTCAAATGGCCTAATGATTGCCTGAGTGCCAATTAATAGTCTTTATTGTAATTAAATTGTTTGATGTAAGAGAACTTAATACATGCAAAAAAAAAAGGAACACGCAGTGAAAACAAGAACACGACAGGCATGCATACTTTATAAACAGAAAATGTTTAAAGATCAAGATTATCTTTGGGTCCAGTTTCTCATAGTATATAAGTTGTCATTTTTAAGCTACATAGAAAATGAGAATGAAACAACAGATTGGTTTATTCTACTCTACCTGAGCAACAAACAGATTACAATTAGGGTAGCTTCTATTTTCCTTTTTGCGTCTAAACAACACTTAGTTGCAGGGAGCAATTCTACCCCGTAGTATTGATATGTAAGTGTATGCATGTAGTTTGAGCATTTACATGGCTATGTACACATGCCCATTCTAGACATGTATGAGCATCCAAGTTCAGAAAACGTATACAAGCAGAAACCCAGGGTTCCTCAGGAGAACAACCCTCCTGTGTTTTATTTCCAATAGCTGGATGGTTAGGGCACTTAACCTAGGAAGCTGGATTCTAGGCCTCCCTTACTCTGATTCCACAGAACATTGCTTGAACCACTATGCCACAAGCCAGGTATTACCCAGTGGCATCTCTGACAATCCCTTGAAGTTTACTTCCAGGACAGCTGAGGGAGGTATGTGGAACCTGGGTATGTGTTTTAGTGAGAGATGCTAGCTTGGAAGGGCACAGGTCCCTGTTTCTAGCCTTAACATTTGTTCCTGATTGGCTAAAAATTTCAATTTGCATGAATGACCCTTTATTCAATAACTATTAAATGCAAGGGACAGTGTCTCAGCTTCAGAAGGAGTCTGGATAATGTAGAGCACATGTGTGGTGGTTAGAGTGCTGTTCTGGGAAGTCAAGAGAGATATAGGTTCAGACTCCTCTGAGAGAGGGGCAGAGAGGGAGGACTGATAGCCCTGCTTCTCGGGTAAGTGCCCTAACCTCTCAGGCAAGTGCCCTAACTTGCTGCAATTTTTCAGGACTTATGCTCAGGTATATGCACACATCCATATGCTTACACATCCACAGCATAAAGTGAGGGACAAAAACAGCCAGGTAGACATCTAGAAGAGTGACACTAGGATGCACAAAGGGAGATAGAATTCTACCCATGTGTAATGATTGCTTCTTGGCATTTTGGCTAAGATTCAGCATCTGTTCTTATCACTTTAGTGTCCCATATTTTCATTGTCAGCCAATTGGGAACATAGGACTGGAAGGGGCCTCTCTGGATGTTGGGTGCATGTCCAGACGAGCCTGCACGTACATCTTGCAGCATCTCAAACCCCAAGCAGAAGGCTGGAGACGAGTGGGGGAATGAGCAGTAGGCTGGAGACCAGCAGGATAATGCTTCCAGCCTCCTGCTTGTTCCCCTGGAGACGAGCAGGAGGCTGGAGACAAGCCCCTGGAAATAAGATGAAGACTTCCCCTGCTCTCCAGCCTCCTGCTCGTTCTCTACTAGTGCCGGTGAGTGTGTGTGTGGCCTCCTGCTCGTTCTCCTATTCTCTCCAGCCCCCTGCTTGTTCTGCTTCTCTCCAGCCTCCACACCTTCATACAGAGGACCCACACTTCCTAAGCAGCCCCCACACCCACAGTCCTCCCACACCTACCCACACACTGACTCGCATCCCCCCACTTCTCACCCCTTACTGAAAACCCCCTATTCCCCCATCACACACCCACAATGTGATAAGGAAACCAAAAGCAAACATTAAAACATAGATATTTAGGATTTATTTTATTATGATACTGGAGACACTAGTTGGACTTCCAGATTTCTTTAACAGTGTAAATAAAGCAATAAAACATTGGCCATCTGATCAGTCTCTCTCTCTCTTTCTTCTAATTTTGAAAGAATGTGGATTTGGGGGTATTTTAAAAGTGAATTTGAGATGCTGCTTCAGCAGTCTAGCTGATACATGGGGCTAGTGTCCCCAGATACCAAGTGGCTGAGCCTCAAGAACCTGAAGGCAAGTAGCACTGAGCTGCTGGCCAGGGCAGATTTTTATACTGCTGGGGTGAGCACAGGTGCTGGCCCTATGTTCTAGCCGCCCCCCCATCCCGGGCTGCAGATCCAGGAGCAGCCAGGCAGGGTTATTTTGCCCCAAGTGGCACCATTCACCAATTGCTCCACAACAAAGTGCATGTCTGGGCATGTGTGCTGAGGCAAAAAGCCCCAGCTCAAATTTGCACCGGTTCTATTTGAGCTGCTGCAAGCGCACATGCTTGCATATGTGGATGCGCCCTGAGGGTGTATATGCCATTTGCTGTACTCAGTCTATGCTCATGTGGCTTACTTTTGCCCAGTTGGGGTGGGGAAGGGCAGGGGGTATTAGGATCATAGGGATTCAAACTCAGGGGGGCCAGGCCCACACATGGAGGCTAGGTCTTCAGTACTATCCCACAGCTGGTCAGACACCAGCCTCAGCTCAGTTTGGTTCCTTCCATAGGGATATTAATAAGGAGTCAGGTGACCAAAGAGAACCTATAAGGACCACAAACCTCTGATAGGAGAGTTATAAAAACACTCTTACTTCCTGTGGGACATGTCCCAGCAACATTGCCTGTGTGTGTGCTCCTTGGACATCTGCCCTGCTCCTGTTTGTTCCTGCCTGATCCCAGCCTCACTACAATCCCTGGCCCCACTCTGCTTGGATCACCTGGCTCTTATCTCCTTCCTCCCTGACCATAATACTTCCTCAGCCCTTGGCCTGAAGAACCAGACTTCCAAGAACCAGACCAAATATTGTGACCCTGGCCTGCTTACGGTAATTTGCTGAGTGACTGCCTACAGCCCATTCAATCCCGACAGTTTGCTGGAACTACCAAGGCACCCCTGGGTCCATGACCCCCTGGGGATATGGCTCCCACCTAGATGGCCCTGTTCATGGAGGTTTTGGTAGCCTGTTTAGAGGAGCTGCACTCCTGCATTAGCTCTGCAGGCCCAGAGTCGGGCTATACAGACCCAGGTGGTCACACTACAGCAAGAAAATGCTACCCTGAAGCTACACCCTGGATCACCTGCAAGAGTTGTGGCTCCACTTGTAACCACCCCTCCAGATTTCACTGATCTCTAAGGTTCCCCTGCCAGAACACTTTTTTGGAGACCCAAGTTTTGGGGGTCTGTCAACCAGTGCTAGCTACTACTTACCGTGCAGAGGACTAAGTCCTGTGATATGAGCAAAGCACAATCTCCCACAGTACTTGCTAGTCTGAACTGGATGAAAACCTTCCTGACACAAATTTGGTGATTGATTTGATCCTAAGCAGAAAAGCAAGATATTTTAGCCAGGAACCTGAGGGGTTTCTAAATGGTGGCAGGAACAACAGAACAGCCCAGTTAAAACTCCCAGCCTTAGGTGTGTCTAGGGTCTAGTGCTTCAGAAGAAGGCAAAATGTACAAATCAGAAGCCAATAAAGCATACAAGAGGGGAAAAAAATTCCTCCTGAACCCTGCAGGCAACCAGCAAAAGCCCCAAGACAGGATTGCTGGACACTAACCATATTGTGAAAGGGTTACCTACCTCAAAGCCAAGCAGAACTAGGGAAAACAAAGCATACAACACCATAAAATGAGTTTTCTTCCCTTTTTTCCCTAGGTGTAAAGGAGTGTGTGGATTCATTTTACTTTTTGAAGTGGTGAATGGTCCTAGGCAGGTTTCTCAAGAAGGCATGTTTTATGTTTAGAAACAGTCAAAGCAGATATAGGCCCCAGTATAACTGCTTCTGAGAGGAAGTCTCAGAACTGGAGCCACCCTGCTGAAAATGCTCCCTGCCTGCCTCTTCAGTCTGAGGCCAGGTCTCTCCAGTGGGTCAGTCCTGTAAAGCGCAACTCTGGGGTCACAGAAGATGAGTCAGTTTCCAAGATTGCCAGTCAAGGGCTGGAAAAAAAAGAGGAATTATCACTTTTAAGCATCTATTCCATTAGACAGACAAAACTTTTCTGAGGGAAGCATGGTAAAGGGAGTGTTAATTTCTCTGTTTATTAATTGGGCCTCCAATCTGAACCCCAAGCTCTACACAAAGGGGATGTGCCTCCAATAAAAGCTTTTCCAACCTCTTTGAAATGTGAAAGGCTCAAGAAAACTTTACTACTGTTGTCCTCTGGTTCACACACTGGGAGATTTTCATAGATTTCATAGACATTAGGGCTGGAAGGGACCTCGGAAGATCATCGAGTCCAGCCCCCTGCCCAAAGGGCAGGAAGTCAGCCGGGTTCATAGGATCCCAGCAAGATGAGCATCCAGTTTGCTCTTGAAGGTGTTCA